TATATATATATATATATATATACATACACATCACACACAGCCCAGCAAAACCTTTCTTTTATGTAAGTCATTATGCATAATAGCCAGTCCTCGTCATGATTTGTAAAATTTTTGAATGCAGTGGTGTACAAATGATGCATATGGGGAAAAGTTTCGTAATAGAAAAATGGAAAAGAAGCAAAAAATAGATTAAATCGATATTTTCATTGTGACGCACTACTTTAAAAAATATGAAAAAAACATGGTTACAAAGTGCATTAAAACTAGCAAAAACCAATGCTAAAAAGTTTTGCAATCATCTCACTTATTCAAGAATTCTTTAAATTTTTTGAAAGTACTTGAAGTAATGAAGCCCAGGGAACCAAAAAAGTGTACATTAGATATCGTATGACCTATTAGAGTAACACCGGGATATGGTACAATACTGATACGACTTATCTAAGGTGTAAAAAAGGCACATTTATATTGTTTTAAAATAAAAAATGTATTTGAAGGTGTTTGTTTAATTTGATGTAATATTATGTTGGGGAGTGAATATGATGAAGGGAACACCAAGAGCCATGAATCAGATCATCATTGTTTTTGAAACATTTTTACTATACTTACAGTGATAACAGGGGGCTCCAAATTTAAATCTATTGGATTCATGACTATGAAAACTTGCTGGTTCTTGTGAGTCAAACCATTAGCTTCACGCAGTGCTGCTTTACAGAAGTACTGGACCCAACCATGTTTGCCTAAGAAAGTGGATGGTAGTCCAAGGGGTAACCCTAACTTGAAAGGGAAACTGTGGATTCCTGGAGAGAGAAGTACTGGACCTTGGCCTGAAACAAATGAAGGGCAATTAACCTACATCGTTATACCTCACGAGTGGGGATACTATGATCTGATACCGTTCTTTGTTATTTTTCGCTTATAAATGAGACATCGGGAGCACAAGTGGTCTACCTGCACCTTGCTGCGAGAACAAGAGTCCCATATCTGCCAATTTACGTTGAAGTTCGACCACTGCTCTCATGACTGGTTGTAGTTGGACACAACATGTGCTCTCAATGCCTCGAATATAGTGTAGATACAAAAATTACAAATATTATTCTTATTAACATGTCAGACTATCCTGCAGCTTCAATGTTGAAGATAAAGCTTTTTTTGGTCAATGCAATCAATTTCTCTTTGTTAAAAATTAAAATAATTTCATGTAGTGCACATTTTTCAAAAAATAGTTTTCACGTATTTTTAAGTTAATCTCTCACAAGTACCTAAACAAGGTTTTCTTTAAAATGGCTTCAGTTTTTTCTTCAATCAGTTTGTATGAATAGGGTACAATGTACAAAATCTCATGACAAAAACGCTATTCTGATTAAAACTTCAGAATTTCCAAAAATTCCACATAGAAGACCTATGTAATATTTAAAAAATATATTTCCCCTGTTAAAATTCACAAGTCAGGTGTATTTTGAAAGTTAATGCATTTGTGTGCTCATTGCTTCAAAGCATCTAATAAGTTTCTCGAATCTCAAAAGTTTCCATTTACATGAGGTTTGTCAAGGTCGCCGGCAAGGTAACGACAGACGGCAAAGTAACCCGAACTTAATATTCGGACCCCCCAGAGATACTCAAGAAATCGAAAGTTCTGTAATATTTTTGCGGTTGTAGGAAATAAATTGCAAAAAGCAAGAAAAAGAAAAAAAGTCAAAGATAATTGTTCCCCTATTAATGGAAAACAGTATAAAAAAAGCCGAATGTAGTTGACGCATTCAATAAAAAAGAAAACAAAATAAAACTCTGGATTGTTTAGCCACAGTAATATTAGGACACGTGAAATGAAATATAATATAAATTAACAAATAAGTAAATGAAAATAAAATTAATACTTTGTAGCATAATCATTGTTGTCAATGACTTGCTATAATCGCTTTAGCTTTGAACCAATAATTATTTTCAGCTACTGTTATCTAATTTGTGCCCATTCTTCCTTGATTATCTCTTGCAGATAGGACTGGCGTAATTGGGATTCTCCTGACTGTACAATCCGATTCATGCCATAAATTCTCGATTCGATTGAGGTCAGAAGACTGAAGCGGTGTTTCTAGCACTATTGAACAATTGGACAACAACCATTCCCGCACTAAATACGATTTGTGTTTCGGGTCGTTATCTCGATAAATTTTAAACGCGTTCCTGATGTGTCCACCTCAGTGTTTCACAGTTGACACTACGTTTTTAAGATACAATTCTGTATTTAGTTTGCGCAATATCATTTTCCTACCGTCACTGCCAAAAATATTAAACTTTTTCTCATCTACAAAAATTACCTCATGCCACCACTTCTCTATCACATATTTATATATCTATATTCACAATTTTATCACACACACACACACACACACACACACATATATATATTTATATCTATTCATAATTTTATCACATATTCCTTTGCAAACTGAAGTTGTTTAGTTCTATTCCCAACACGGACAAAGGTTTTCTTCCAGGCCGCTCTGCCATGAAATCCGGCATTTCTAATTACTCTGCGCACTGTTTCGGGGTGCACAGATGTCGCTGACGCTTTGCACGCACCCACTGCAAGAGGTGTTTGCAGGCGGAAATGTTTACAGTGAGTCTGCATAGTTTCGTTTGGCCTGGGTGGGCGATGGTGCGCTTATCGCGCTATCTGGGAGAGTGGCGAGGGGTTAACAGGGCATTTTCCATTACGTGTCCGAATATTAATGTGACTTCGTATTCGTGCATATTCACACATAAATCCGTGTTTTTGAAACGTATGTTGTGCATTAGAAGCATTTTCTATGGATTATTCTGTTTTCTAATATTGTAGATACAGTTCTTATGCATTTCCTCACTTGGAGCTTCCGCGCACGTGCGAAAAAACAAGAAACGCCTTCTGTATTTGGGGCTGTGCGAATATTAATGCGAGCCACTGTAGCTTTCCAGAGTTCGCGGGCACTGCATCCAGAGCAACTAGCACGTGGTTTTACAACGAGGGTTGTGCGCCACCCGATACTTAGTCCATGGAAGGCGTTTGGAGGTCAGGTGACAGTTATTTCCTCAACAGCGATGTTAATTCCCATTTCTTCTACTAATCAAAACAAGTATCAATTTAAATGAAATACGCCAGTCTTATTCCCAATTGTCAAACGAGAGTAAAAGTCAACATTTTGAATCGAAAGAATCTTGATTTAATAATTGTGTTTACTTGGCAATGCAATAATTGCATTAACTTCCTACGTCCTGGTTAGGAGGTTTAATTAACAAAGATTCTTGCCTGTTAAATGAGCTCTTTTACCGTAAGAGAGACTTGTTAATATATTTCACATTTTTGCTATCTACCACAAAAAAGAGAATGATTTAATAAAACAACACAAAACGAAAACAGGTACAGAATTTAAACATTCCTGCCCCTTGGCAAAACTATTTATGCAAGACAGAATTTAAAAAGAAAATAATATATAATAAATTAATAAGTTGTAAAGTAGATAAACCCAATTCAAATATCGGCAATTATTTTGGTATAAAGCCACCGTTTCCGTTCCACCTCGAGTGCCATTTGAGCTTCCACTGCCCGCTTCGCTTGTGCGGCCACCCGTTCCTGCATTTGGAGTGAGGGGCCTGCGCTCGCAGGAGCGCGAGCGGCCGTCTCAGCAAAATACTCCCCTTCTTTGCAGGGAATCTGTTTAGCAGTAGTCACTCTGATGTGGTCTATAGTTCGAAAGGGCGCCGGTTCGATACCTCGCTCCAAACACAATTTCCGTCTTAAACTAGGCTGCGATGTTATAAAAAATGGCACAATAACTCTGAATGAGTGCAAAATACAAGTAAAGGAATTCCAATGTGATCACTAATGATGATAATAATTTAGGCACGGAGATACAACAACGAATGATTGCGGCCAGCAAAACATTCCCTCAGAGGAATGTTTAAAATCCAAGGAGGAGTAGGAGAACAAAAGTATCTATGTAAAAAGTGTTAATAAGAACAGGGCTTAGCTATGGGTGTGAAACATGGGTTATGAGCCAGACAAGAGAAAATAATTTAATGGTGTTTGACGGCATGAAGATTCTGAGAGGCATTTTGGGGCCGTGCAGGAGAAAAAAACATTGGCGGGGGCGTAGTAAAACGGAGCTATATTATCTACGTAAATCCCCTAATATTATAAACAAAACTACGTCGTCTAGAATGGGCAGGACAGTACAACATATGCCATCTATGAGAATATCAAAGTAAGCAATGGAAGAGCGGGTGTTTGGGGGCACACCGCTTGAAAGACCAAGGAACAGATGGCTGGATGGCGTCACACGAGATTCAAGGGAACAGTTGGCGATACGAAAATGGAGAAGAGCTGCGGAAAGCAGAGAAAATTAGAGGCGAATTATTGGCGAGGCCTGAGCCCGACATGGGCCCTAGCACCATCGAAAAAGAGTTTATATTACAATTCCCAATTGTAGATCCATGGGAGAGTGCTATTCCCTCCCCCGCCCGGAGCCAACACGTTTGGTAATTTTTCTCAATTAATTCAGATTTATTGTTATATTCTCAATACATCCGAAATAGTATATTATGAACATACTGGCGTTTATTTTTAAATTTCTAGCCAACAATTACAAAAAAATACTAATTCAAAAATATTTATGATATGTATGTACTGGAATCGACTCCTCCTTGGAATACTTTCTGAATTTGTCGCTGTCCAGCTTGACTAAATTACTTCACGTATCTATGAATAAATTCAAAAGTACCTGAAGATTGGAAACTAGTATTTGATGTACCAAATTTGAAAAGTGATGACAAAGCTATACTTAATTACTTACAGTCCGGTAAGTCTTAATTCGGTCATCTGTAAGCTGAGGAAGCAACTCGTTATAGGTTACATTAGACAAAAATGTTGTCACTGCAGATGGTGTTTCCTGGAGCGTTAATGATGGTGTCGCCTCTCTTTTTAGTTTCTTCACTCCCCATGAACATTTTGAAGGGCAATTCTGACACTTAATGTGATGCAGATTTTGTTGGTGTTCGTTAACTGTCCTCTCAATAGTATAGGTCAAATTAAAAGAATATTACTGCCATAGCAGAACTCACAAAATAATATGCGACAATATACTTTGAAGTCGTTACCATTTTCGATTAGTAACACAGAAAATATCCCAGATTGATTTTGGAAACTCTTGATTTTAAACTGATTTCTATAATGTACTCTATAATAGAAGGTAACGTTTACTAATGTAACGTATTAGCCAGCGTGCCTCGTGGCATCTATTTGGGAAGTGATTAGTATGAGGAAACTCCTCGCCACAGGAAGGAGAGAAGGGTTTCTCCTTAAAGCAAGAACGCGGAAACGGGAGACACGAGGCTTTGGGGACTTCCGGTCTTAAGATACAGAGACCCGAACCCTTAAAAGTTAGCATTAGAACCGCGGTGTGGGTGGCGTGACGTAGGAGGTCACGTGAGCCTCGACTATATAACGGAGTGCACAGATCCATTGGGTGGGTTCTAGAGACAGTGGGAGAACCTAGTGCAGTTGCACAAAACTTGGTGCCACGACGGTGCTGCGGCTAGCAGGGCTTGCGAGGCAAGTCACGAGTTGACGAGCCTGCGGAGGACTTTGTGTCCTCGGGTGACTGCGGTCACTGGGAGCGATGCTGTGTGCGTGTTCCGAGGTGAGGAGTGGTTGTGTGCCACGATTCACGCCGATTCTCAATCGGGTAAGATCGCTCCTGCGATCGAGGCAAACCATCAGTTGGTACGCCAGTACGGACTTTGTGTCCCCGTGTGACATCCGGTCACGGAAATTTGGCTTTGTGGGAGCTTCAAAAGTAGGAGTGGCGAATGCCACAATCGAAACCGATCAGGGGACAGTAGGTCTATCAGAGCTAGGGTGTAAGAAGGAAATTCATTGTAAATAGTGGTGTTTTCTTTGTGAATAAATATTTGTTATATGAAAGCTCTGTGTCTGTATTCGTTGTGTGTATCTATGACGTCACACTAATATATATGAGAACACGC